GTTAAAATGTTGAGAAAATCCTTTTTTAGTGAATACAGAAGGTATTCGAGTGTTATGAGGAATCTATCTAAATTTCAAGCTTGTAGCTTTTATGATATCTACGATTTCGAAGGAAAACTACATATAGATAGGTTATTTGAGAACCGCCGCCAAACGTCCATGTTGTCGACAAATCGTCGTCTCAGTGCTTATTTGTCCAAACGACCAATTTACCGAAATAGTTTTTAAAGACAGTATTATTGATTTTTAAATGTTATGTATAGCCAAAGGAATGTACTTTATCTATCTAATATATAAATATCTCGTGTCACGGTGTTTGTGGTCGCACTTCTCCGAAACGGATCGACCGATTTTAATGATGTTTTTGGTATATTTGGTAGGTATGAGAATAGGTCGTTAAGTATTTTTCACCCTCCTACCCCTAGCACTGAGGCGAAGAAATGTAAAAAAAGTTAACGTACTCCTTACAGGCCTATGAAAACGTCACATATATTTTAATTTAACCATTTTCTTTAAACTCGAATACATCTAAGTTTTAATATATTATGTTTTCCTACAGATAAGAAAGAGAAGATATTAGTAAAATAAATTAATAACAAAAATATACATTGAAAATAATTCAACTGAAATATATATATCTTGAGGATATAAGCTAATTCGTACAGATATCAGGTTAGTGAGAAGAAACGACGGACTTTTTAAGAATAAAATAAAAAAAAACGAACTCAAACTATGAATAAAAATCATTCTAAACGCACATAATGCTTCATAACATTATCTTTCATAACGTGATTCTTTTTCTTCTTCTATTCATAATAAAAATATACGAATATTAGACTATTGTATACATTTAAACACAAATAATTGATTAAGTTGAGATTTATATTATCTATATACAAAATAAGTAAGAGTTGCCACACATTGCTTGGTACAGTTAGTTATATTTTATCAAGTCAATAATTTCATATAAAATATACTATACGTGGATAACTCTACAATGTGCAGAAACCTTTAGATAATACAACAGCTTTATAACTTATTTAAATTAATTTCTAATTATATGTAAGTTATACGACATTGCCGATTATGTCAGAGGTCTGAGTTTCGATTCCCGATTCGTCCAAAATAAACATTATTAATAAAGTTGGACAGTTGACATTGGAATTTCTCTTTCTCTCTCAACATTCCTCAAATAGAAGACGAACGAAGGGATGAAAGAAATAATAGTTAATTACATCGATAAATTTGTGCAAGACTTTCAATAATAATTATTAATAATATTATTATTATTAGTACAATATACAATCCATATTAATAATTAAAAATCGATTTATATTCTGTTCAATAAATACATATAACGATTGCAAGTTGCAGGAAAGTTTAAACAAAGCTCAGTTACAATTTAAATAATAATATTTACACACATTCTTGAATAATCGATTCCGAAGTGTAAAAATATCGATATGTCTACATTCACTACATAACTACATCCCTAATACACACGCTTAGATTAGATTAGAATTTGTTATGGCAACTAAAAAATTAGTGAAAACGACCGATTTAATTAATAAAAAATACATGAAAAAAGGTATTTTTAATGGATGGATATTGTTCCAAAATGGGAGGGACAGGGGGTTAAATATTGAGTACATGCTGTCTAAAAATATACGTATGCTTCGATATATGCATACAATTTAAATCGATCTTATGCGATATCTTATTAATCAGTCTAGATTTTTACTATGACTAGTTATTATACGCGACTCTCCATCAGGGCTCGAATACAGTTTAAAAAAAAAACGATTTATTAACGGTAATGTAATGGTTAATTCATCGCTCGTTCTTTAACCGGTTAATGAAAACGAACGGTTTAGTGAACCGAAGTAATAATGGTTATTGGTTATTCGAAATAAACCTGTTAATTCATAAATAAATAAGAAACGTGCATGAATCCTTTTACTAAGTAATTCACCATTGGCAAAGACGTGCCACATGTTAACACATAAAAACTCATTTTAACCGGTTAATTTTGTTCATGGTACCTAAATTTGTCAAAAACCGTCCTCCCGGATTTAACCGGTTAAAGAACGTAACCGAAACCTTAAACCGAAAAGACTTTCGGTTTGGGATCAAAAACCAAAACCGGTTTAAAAATTGAATGGGTTTCCGAGCCTTGCTTTCCATCGATTTTAGTGGATATAATCGAAAATAGAAACAAGATTACATTACCATATATGTCTATGACTTTAGAAATACTTGTTTTCATACTTTATCATATTACATTCATTTTATTTGCCCAAAGTGTAAATAAAATAAAGGGCAAGTGCTAATAAAATCATTAAAATATGTAATAAATAATAAAAGATTTATCTTAAAAAGAAATAGCTTAAAAAAATAAAACGCTACAACTTAATCCCTTTTAGCAATTTAGTCAAAATCGATGTACAAACACAATTTAAAAGATTAATATATATACATAGTACAATAAAGTTGTTAAATAATTACTTAATTTGGATATATTTTAAAACGATTTAAATCTAAACGTGAAAAAGACCTAAATTTCAAAAGCCTTTGCTATTAGGTCCCATTTCATCGAACACTTTCGTGTGTATCACTTTTGATATACTCATTAATACTGTCATTGAAAAATTACTAATTCAAAGCTTATAACGCTTTATAATAATTAAAATTGTATTCTAATCACTTAACTATTAATTTAATTTAGTTATACATTAAAACCTCCTTAAATGAAATGGCACACCTAATATTATAGAGGGTAAACCTAAGAGCTGTCTCTGTGATGAAAAAGTGTCCGTTGAAAAGCGCTAAATTAGGGTGGCGTCACGGTAGCAAGTGGGTACATTTTGAAGCGTCAAAAGTTAAAGTTTAATACTATCTCTCTAATTCACTTAGGTTGACTGGAAGAGATCTCTTCTAGAGATAAGTCCATGTTTGCTTGTTTTTGAATTCATGTATTTTACATATAAGTATTTTTAAAAGTTCACAAAAAATAAATCGATCTCCACGTTTATATCACCACAGTTGTTTCTGATATATTTACTAAATCATTTTGGACTAATTAAACAGTTTCAATAACTACTCGAGTCACCCAAAATTTTTCAACTCAGCACACTTCACTCTGTTTATAATTGCTAACTTCATATCATACCCTCTTGCTACTATAGCGCCATTCTGGTGAATTTTTTGAACTGTTATTTACTTATCTCCCATATAAGATACTTCTCCTTACATCTACCCTCCATACCTAATTTAGAACAGTTAGTGTACAGATTAAAAGTATACAGAAGTATGAAGTTAAATTCGTTGCAAGGCAAGTGATATCTAGATCTGATCTAGGGTCTAAAACCAAAAACAAAAAACTAACTAATATAGAAAATAAATATGCTTAATCTACTTAATGATATGTTGTTTTCGATTTATTCGAGTTATTTTTTATATGCAATATGTATTGATTAGAGGGGGAAAGAGATATTTTAATATTTATTTTGTAAAGGCTTAGTATTATGGTCTTATATAATATTTGAGAGCTATACTACAGTCGATATCGTATGCTTAAGACACTTTTGGACTGGCAGTAAAGTTTATTATTTAACGTCAAATCCTTCAAATTTCGAGTTAAAGTTAGAAAAAGATAGAAAAACTTCCGTCTCTTTTTCACTTCTCTTTTTTTATAACTGCTTATTTTTAGAAGATGGAGATAATGATAAAAACAATCGAAAACCTTACATCATTCTTATCAAATACAGTTATGTATCAAGCATTTATTATCACGTCTTTGATTAAAAAAAAACATCTAGAACCTTCTAGATTATCGTAGTACATGTTTTCTTCTTTATATAAAGATTTTGTTCAACTAGTAATAATTTGAAATTTTCTTGTTTATAGTTGAGTGTTACTTACAAATTGAAATATTGATTAACAGAGGAAAATAAACCTTAACTATATTTAAATAAGATTGAAATTCTCATGTAAAAGCTGTTTTGCTGTACAATAAATATAAACAAACCTTATTCCTATACAATTAGGTACTATTTTGATATACATTTTTAATCCAACATTTCTATCCTAAGAGTAGAATAGTAACAAATATAAATAATCACGGGTTATTGATACATTTCATTATACATATATGTATATTTTATACAATTTCGCTGTATATATAACAGTTAAAGTTTGAAAGCAAGCAAATGATATGTAAATCTGTAAATGAATGTTTAAAAGTGATAGAAGATATCGCTATCCTTATCACATATTATACGATAAGATTGGATAGTGAATTGACAATTGCTCACTTTAATGTATCGTCACAATTTTTAGAATTAAAGTGACCTATCTAGAAACAAAGTATTTAACTAAATAAAAAAATCTACCAAAAGCCTTATAATAAAATATAAAAAAAAAAACTGTTTACAAAAAAACCGTTCAACGAATGACATTCAAAAGTCACTTTAATCCTAAGCCTTTCTAACTATGGCTATAAATATATTAAAGGCGTATTTACAGGGAGAGTTTTTCGTCTCGATACGTATACTGAAATAGTGTAAGAATATTGGGCAATGCAAGATATTATAATGTTGATATATTCAGCTCTTTTAACATCCTGAACATGTCTTTCGAAAACTTGCTAGGTTCTCTCCGACATGCAGGTTTTCTCACGATGTTTTCTTTCACCGTAAGATAATCGTGGTAATTGTATTACAAATGATTTGCACATGAAAATATCAGAGGTGCGAGACCCGGGATTTGAACCCACTTTACTTGGTTTCACCAAGCGAACGCATTACCACTGGGCTACCACTGCCTTTATATTTGTCATTACTCAATTCTTATATATCCTTACGAGTGCTTTTTCTCCGTGTAAATGAGTTTTAATATATTAGACTATGTTCTGTGGGCTGACAATGGAATATCGACTTTACCTTAGTGCAAATATGAGTTATTTTATTACAAACGTCCCCAGCGGGAACGTTCTGTCATCAGTTGGACGCGCTGTCTGAAGCGTTGAGACCTTGTGAGTATGTTGCTTGTATGCTTTCACATACGAATTTGTATTGACTCTGTTAATAAAAAAAAACTATATCAAAATCGACATATTTGTTTTGGAGCTACGCCAGAAATAATCATGGATTTTATATTTAGGTGGAAATAATTAATTGTATGGATATTTAAGATATAATATGATGAGCAAGAGGGACTCATTTTTCTAAATGTATAATATAAGTCAAATTACTTCACAATGGTCTTGTATGTAAATATGATATGATATATAATTTGTGTAATGTCATTATACTTATGTTTATTTAACTATTTATATTTGATATGTTATTTACTTCATTATAACTGCACGATTTTAGTCCTTTATAACACTATTTCTCACTACAATAGGTTGGCTGGAAGAGATCTTTTTTAGAAATAAATCCATTTTTGCAAAACAATTTAATTGTATTTTAGAAAAGAAGAGGCGAGGGGGGAGGGATAGAGATAGAAGATACAGTGTAGGCGTGCGAGCGAGAGGGATAAACTCACAGCGTTCTGTATGCACATGGGGCGCTGCGTGCGCATGGCGCGCACCAGGTCCAGCGGGTACAGCGGCTGGCGGCGCGCCAGCAGCGCCAGCGCCGTCTCCGCCAGCACCAGCGCGCCCGTGCGCCCCACGCCCGCCGAGCAGTGCACTATCATGGGCGGCTCCAGGATACGCTCCTCGCCGCCCATCTCTTCCACCACTGTCGGTATTACTGCGGACCGATATTTCTTTGATATTAGACTCAAAAAATTTTACTTTTTCATCTATACAAATAAATAAAATTGAAGTGTTTGTGATTTTTTGTAATGCTGAAATAATAGCTTTTTACTAAATGCACGTGAAATATATACATGGTACCTATAAGAAAACATTTTTTATTTTTTTTTGTCTTGTTGTCTGTTTGGTCCGGTTAATCACAGGAACAGCCAGACCAATTTTAACAGGACTTTCACGGACACTTTCACTGATGTTATAAGGAAAAACTTAAATATTATGCTTTAAATACACTATTTACTCCTTTTTTTAAGTTGATCAAAAAAAAATCTAATAATATTTGGCATAGTATAAATACACATACTACAAAGAAAAAGAAAACAATATCCACTTAAAAATACGAATAATAAAACAAATCACCAGCTCGATGGTTTCTTAGTTGAGAACACAGCCGTGTGAAGTCTATGAAGGCCGTGGAATCTTCTGGAACGCCGTGGTCCGGCCACGCCGTGTACTGTAGCTGAGTGATGTTGCGAGACGCACCGCTACTCGTGTCCTGGAGAATAATAATATAATATATATACAGATAAATAAAATTGAAGTGTCTGTTTGTAATGTCAAAACAGCGTTTTACTAAATGCGTATGAAATTATATACGATACTTATAAGAAAAACACATTTTTTTTAATTTTTGTCTGTCTGTCTATTTTTTTTGGATAATCTCTGAAACGGCTGGACTGATTTTGACGGGACTTTCACTGGCAGATAGCTGATGTTATAAGGAGTAACTTAGGCTACTTTAAAAAAATAAGAATTAGGGTTTTCCAAAACAAAACCTACCTAGAGACGAACGCGAGCGAAGCGAGGGTGAATCGCTAGTATTTTTAATAAAACTATCTTTTCGGATTTATTCGCGATTTTTTTTGGATTTTTGGTTCTCGACGTTTCAAATGCTTTACAGCGATCATGGTCAGGAGAGACTCCTCCCGTGACCGAATATATTATAAAACTATATTGTTTTATTTAAAATGTAAAATATTTGCGTAAATCTAAGAAAGTATTATGTAATATTTATATTTAAAATGATAGTTTAATATTGCAGTCCAATGGATATAATAATATTTTAAGTACCTGTTACAAGTCCTAGATTTTGTATGCAATATTAGTGTAATGTGGTTAGCCTTGACGAAAGTACTAGTGACAAATTAAAATTAAATTTTTAAAGTTTATATTAAAAACTAACATACTAACCTTAAGACACATTTCTCTCCTAACATAATGTCCTAGATTCTGTTCACTGTTGGTAACCACTGTTAGAGTGTTGGTAGCCTTGAGAGTGGTACCAACTTTAGGCCAATACTGGTGGCACTTGGCGCGACCACGCTCGGCTAGGACCGTTAACATCACTACCAGACTACTCTCACTCTCCCACACCATTTGCCAGAAATCACCCACTGTTGATGCTAAAGGGCCTGACATGACATTGAAAAATGTTAGTTATTAACGGTTACTTAGAAATGTTTTGCCTAACTGCCTCGGTGGTCTAGTGGCTAGCATATACCGCTGCAGATCCGGAGGACCTGATTTCGAGTCCCGGTTCAGGCTAGGTTTAATTACTAAGATTTATTGTTAAGATATTCTCAGTACTAGAGTTGGGAAGCTGGCGGTGTTGCAGTTTTGCACTCCCGTGCCTTAACTCTTACTGCGAGTGTCAAAGTGTAGTCGTGTCGGACTTTGAGAGTAAAACGTATAGAAGTACATTTACTACTCAGAGATTGACCGCCGTGATCGAAACCGGTCGGGGTAATATTATTATAAATGTTTTGGTAGAAATATTATATATATATATATATATATATATATATATATATATATATATATATATATATATATATATATATATATAATATTTCTATATATATAGTTGGAAAAAAATTGACAACATCAAAACAAAATTTATTATGTAATCAAAATTTATTTTAAAATATATCCGAAAATAACATTAAAAATTTAAGTAATAGTATAAAAATGTTTTAAAAAACAACGAAATCGAAAGTGCATAATAATTACAAGACTTCACGACACCATTCAGACAAAGAGAGACAATAGCATTCCCAAGGAGGGTTGACGTCAGGCAGGCGGCCGGTCGTAAAACTTTTGCCAAATCCTACCAGCAGTACGGAACATATACGGCGCCGACCCCAAGTGATTGGGAAATGGGCAGGGAGAAGAAGAAGTCTTGGTAGAAATATTGTCTCAAAGAAACTTTGTTTTATTTATTAATCTTTATTGCACATACAGTATAAAGAAAAGTACATGTGTTGTTATATAAAGTATATTAAGCACATGCTCAGTTTTATTGCTACAAGCAATTTCTTCCCGACAATCTATGGTGAGAGGATTTAATAAAACGTAACGGGATGGTGCTATCAGAAAAACTTAGTAGTAGTAACTTAAGTGAATTTTGATTGGTTAAAGTTGTATAAACTTTTAACTTTAATATTATTTTAGTTCTAAAATTATATATAGATGGTGTAACTAAAGGAAATGGTGTTGAAATAAAATACTTTTTGATACAGATTGATGAATGACATTAACCATATTGAAAAAAAATATGTATAAAACGTTTAAAATTTCTCCTTTCAAAATCAAACTAAAAGAATTAAAAAAAAATAACTCACCTTGTGTAGCTATATATGTAAGAACAAGATCCGAATTCGGTATTTCCATATTGATGTAGGATGCATTAATATAGTCGCCTGTGGGGCCATTCTTGAGTATGACACGTGTTGAATCATCTAAAACAAAAATATTATGGTTATTTAAAATTTCATATATATTTTCCGATTGAAAAGGAGAGAGCGAGAGAGTGAGAGTTTTTGTTTCAAATACGGCATGTTACATATTATAATATCGGCATTATTATTAGGTGTGTAACCTTGGAAATGATGTAATCAGAACGAAGCTGGTAAGACAGACCGATGGACAGGATAAACTTATAAGCGCCAACCTAACCCTAAGCAGTTTTGAACTAAATAGGAACCTGTTTATTAATTAAAAAAAAAAAAACAAAAATCGAGTCACAATTGACGAACATACGATAATATAGACAAACTACTCTATTTTTAATGTCGGTCAAAACCATCCACCAACCACACAAATACAATTCAACAACAATACATACACGGAGCAATATCCCTGTATCTGTTCTTGGCTATATTCTGTGGTAGCTTCGAGGCACTTGCACTCTCTTCGGGCAAACGACGTAGAAGCGTGTCGTACTGTTTGAGGGCGTTCCCGCTGGCGAGCCCGTCGCCTAGCAACAGCATAGATTGTTCTAGAAGGTCACCCTCGAACTGGGTGGAACCGAGCGGGACGAAGCATACAGCTGGCTCCTCTGGGCCTTCCTCTGGTTCATACACCGCTGGGAAATATTGTTAGTTTTATTATATATATACTAGCATTGCGCGCGGCTCCGCCCGCGTTCAGATGACCAAAAACCAAATTCTTAGGTTTTACATATTAGTATACTCTTACATTGCAGTTTTTGTATTTTTTCTCAGAAATGAGATATTTTCCCGCGATAAAAAGTATCCTATATGTTGGTTGACCCGGATAACCAGCTATCATCATACTAAATTTCATCAAAATCTGTCCAGTGGTTTTCTCGTGATGCGGTAACAGACAGACAGATATTACTAGAAATTTCATCATCAACAAACATTAGACAAGACTCAAATATTATATTATTGTTATATATTATTTAATATTTCTTAAATAATCATCATATAATCAAAAAAATAATAATCATACCATTAGGTTTAACCAACAGCGTCAAAACGCCTTTCGTGTTCCTAATCATTTGCACAACTTGCTCATGTGTCATTTCGTCAACATCCTTCCCATTTATTGAAATAACCTAAAAGAAAAAACAAATCCTAATGTATTCATTACCTCCTCGACGTTTTGTCTTTAACGTTATAAATAAAACTACCTTTTCGGATATTTTCGCGAATTTATTTTGATTTTTGGTTGCCGAATTTTTTACAGCAGTCGTGGTCACGGGAGTGACTAAATCCTGGTATGTATTTTTTTTAGTTATATATTTCTCTTCTTTATATACTTCACGCGTGGTTTGAAATTGTCTTCATTAATATTATTTACATATATATTTAATATTCTCTCTTCTCACAGAAGAGGTTTTATTACCATTATACGGGCTTCAGCCAAGCATAGTGGTGATGGAATGAGTTGATGAGCGAGATTGTATTGAGAATAAAAGCTTTCTGCATTGTATTTATAGTGGTTTTGGGAATGTTTAACATATCTAAGCTGTTTCGTATAGTTTTAGGATTATTATTACCTGATCACCTTCCTGCAACTGCGTCCTAGTCCGGGCGGCGACTCTAGAAACGAGTACGGGCGTGTTATTGCCCCCACCCCTTACATTGAACCCGAAGCGACCATCCGGCCCCGCGGACAGCCGGATACACACTGCCCCCTCGTGTGCTTCTGTATCCTCCTCGTTACGTTCAGGAGCCGATTCCGATTCAGATTCATCTACATAGGTGAGTGGTACTCGGAGAGCGCGTTCTAGGAAACCACCGTCGCTACTGGAAATTAAAGATGGAGTTTACTTGCAATTATTATTTTATACACACACATACATACAGAAGATTATTCATTACTGTAAGACAGGTTACGTTGCAAAGCATTTTCGGTTTTAATATGTAAAAATTCATACTAATATTATAAATGTCAGTGTGTTTGTTTGTTTGTCCTTCTTTCACGTCGAAACAGAGTGACGGATTGGCATGATGTTTTGCGTGAAGATAGTTGGAGCGCTGGAGAGTGACATAGGCTACTTTTTAGTACGGGAGATTATTTAATTCCCACGGGACAGCACGTTATAATACATTCCAAAAAATATTTATGATCAGAATTACTTGGTATTAATGCTTTTCGATAAAATAAAATAAATGTGTTTTAGCATTTTCGGAAATTCATTCTATAAGGTGGTAAAATAGGGGATAAAAGTTTGTATGCAACTAACTTTTTAGAGATATTTTGTAGGTTTGGCGCGAGCGAAGCCGCGCGTTCTGCTAGTATGGAATAATTTTGCTTGTCGCGTGAAAACATTCTCGACTCAGATTTAATGAAAAAATACTGTTAGAAATATAATCACTTTCATTGACAATTTTTAAATATTATATTAAGACTTTGGGCACACATGCAGGCGTCACACAGTTTAGTTAGGTTACACACTCACACATCATCAACATAAAGTAATGGTACTTACGTATTAACGCTACCGCTGTAGATTGGCGGCACTTAAAAGTTAAAACCTGCCAAATTTGTAGCTGCGGTGGCGTAAAATATATTTTTTGAATATTCCAATAAAGGCTTAAATAACATAATACGCCACCGCAGCTTCAGATTTAGCAGGTTTTAAGTGCCGCCAATCTACAGCGGTGGCATTAATACGTAAGTATCAAAGCCATTTACTAACGTCATCCACACAAACACAAAACAAGCATCAACGTCACCAAAATACCAACACCACGACCACCGACCCAAAGCGCCCACTAACGTCACCCACATACACCACATTGATTTAGAGCGCCCACTAAGGGCACCCACATACTCTACGCTCCCACACTACCCCGCGGCACTCACTCGTCGCGGTCGGGCGCGGCGTCGCCCCAGGCGGCGCGCGGCGGCGGCGCGTCGTGCGCCGTGACGCGCGCGCCGCGCGCCGCGCCGCCCGCCGCCAGCGCCGGCGACGCGCCCGCCGACCGCTCGCGCGTCCGAGAACTGCTGCGTCTGTAACGTACTTTATATATAGTATCGTGTATATACTTTCATAGCGTAAATCTATGACATATAAACATTTGACATTTTAAATAATACTATATTTTCGGATTATTTCGCGTTCAGCAATCATGGTTAAGGGAAAGGCTGACCATGATTGCTGTAAAGCATCCGAAACTTCGAGAACCAAAAATCAAAATAAATCCGCGAAATAATCCGAAAAAGATAGTTTTATTTAAAAATCGTTTATTAATCTTTTTGTTTTTTTTTTTTTTTAATTTGGTAAAATCATTAAAATAATTCTACCTGAATGTTACTCTCGCTGAGTGACTATTGATGTGCAGCGATATAAAAAAAATATTTTTGGCCGAAATCATAAAATTTATGCAAAAAAATATTTTATGCTGAGTACTAGTGATTATATAATATTTTTGTACATAGCTAAATGTAATTTAACTCAGCCGAAACATTTACTTGACACAAGATATTTTAAAGGATCTATTTATTATGAAATATACGATTTAGAACATACGATTATTTATGGAAAGTTTACAAATTTGCATTCATTTTATTAAAAACTTCAATTTCACTGAAGAAATATAGTACATATACGTACTTCCAAGACCCGAACAGTACGTATCTACGGGGGGCATACATAAAAAGCTCACCTTACAAAGCTCCTATTAGTCGACCTAGACCGTCTCGCGTCTTCCAAAGCTTGTGTCTCGGTCCTCGCGACCGTGGGGGCAGTGACCCCTGCGAGGGCCCCCAGGGCCCCCAACAGGGGTCGTCGTCGGGGGGCCCTCAGACGGAAGAACCCGTGACGTTCCACACTACACCGCCAGAGGGCCTTCGCAGCTCGACCCGAACGCATGTTAAAGCCCAGCACTGTGTCGTATGATTCGGACTGGAAGATAAGAGCATATAGATTATAAATGAGATCGTCCCTATTTAACTCTCATTTGAAAACTTATCTCAACACCAACTGTATGAACTGCATATTTATAATATTTATAGATTTATTGAAAAAAAAATTTATTATATTAAATCTTGCGATTAGTCTTTCAGACTATGAGCAGATGAGATGGATTGGATTGAAATGAAAAAAAAAACAAACAAAAATATATAAATAGAGACAAAGCTAAAACAACTTACTGGTTCTCGTTTAAGCTGTATAAAGAACTGTTTCTTCTTGAAGGAAATCTTCACAATTTTACTCCAAGAAAATGTGTTCACTCTAATATTATTCTGAAACACCACTATACCTATTGACGTCACGCCAATAAATATGTCTTTACCGTTGTAGTCCTGAAAACAAAAATAAATTGTTTATGACATCGAAAAAAATATTAAAAAAATCCATAATCATGAAAAAAACCCACACGTATTTGAATATAGATACGTTTAATAAAACTATCCTTTCGGATTATTTCGCGGATTTATTTTAATTTTTGGTTCCCGACGTTTCGAACGCTTTACAGCAATCATGGCCACGGGAGAGACAAAAACGTCGGGCACCAAAACTCAAAATTGTATGAAATAGTCATTATTATTATCGATACAGAGGTCGAATCTATAGTTTTTAGAATTTTTGTTTGTCTGTCTGGGAACGAGAACATCATGAAAAAAATCACTGGACAGATTTTGATGAAATTTGGTATGATGATAGCTGGTTATCCAAGTCAACATATACACTTTTTACTGCGGAAAAATATCTCATCTCTAAGATATCTATGGTAACATCTAAAACGTCAGCTAAAATTTCTTATCAAAATTCCTAATATTCTACGATGAACATAAAAACACGTATTATATTACCTTTGCTGGATGCGATTCAACGCCATAACAGTCCAATCTTTTGGCGTGTTCCAAAAAGTTCGCTTCAGCATCCGCCGGCGCCTGGCCCTTGTGTAACTTGTGTAACTCACGTATCTTTCGTTCATCCTCCGCACATTGTTTGGGCAAAAGGCACAAGTCTGATAAATAGTTCATTTGGTGCTCTGTTGCGTTATAATCACCTATTTCAGCTGAAAATTAATTATTTACATAAATAAAAACGAATGTTCGTATGTTTGTAGTCTATGCGTTCCAAAACCATTGATCCGATTGTGATGAAACTCTGGTTGGTTATTTTGTTGAATTAATAATAATAAAATAGTAACACAGTGAAATCTGTACATGAAATACCTTTTAAAACAAATATATTTTTTGTCTGTATGTCTGTTATTCTTTTATCTGTGCATGCTTCATGTGTCATTCCAGACTATAATCTATCTCTGTGCCAAATTTCATCCAGATCCGTTTGGCCGTTCTAGCGTGAAATAGTAACAAACATCCATACATACTCACAAACTTTCACATTTATAATATTTATACATATAGATATATAATTAGACCCACCCACATTACAATACCTTTAAGGGCAAAGATAAAATACAGTCCGACTTCACACATTGTTTATTGCACATATTATAACTAGCTATTCAAGTATAAATGTGAAGGCAATGTAGATATTTTTCATTATTTTCCTGCCTACATATTGTTATATGGGTAAAATACAAAAGTATGGCACAGGCAGTCTTATCGTTAAGGCAGTGATATCATCCAGCAAACCTTAGAGTAAAGAATAAACCTTAAGAAAAAAATGGATAGGGTCCACTATTTTAAAAATAAATATAATGTATCTTCATTTAATACTAATATTATAAAGAGGTAAAATTTGTAAGTTTGTGAGTTTGTTTGTAGGAAGTAATCTCTGGAACCCCTAAGCCGATTTAGATAAAATTTGCTATGAAGATAGTTTGAGATCCTGGGAAGGACATAGGATAGTTTTAATCCCGAAAATCATTCCTTAAGGGCGTGAAAAGGGGGAAGAAAGTTTGCATGGGGAATCAATCATTTTTCAAGTAAGAGTTATGAAACTGTGAATCATACCTATATAATATAATCTATCTATTCCATACTAACCATTAAAACGTACCTATGGACGAATGCGAAAGAAGCGAGGGCAAGTCTCTAATGAACATAATACAACCAAGCCAAAGAGGCCTCAAGACTAAAAGTTCAAGGGCCTACACCTCTAACCCCAATCCCTCACTGCGAATACAAATCATGGTTACATGACTTCATTAACAAAACAGTTGACACATTATGGAAGGCTAATACAGATTGCCGTCAATCGAAAGAAGCCTTCCCCAAACTAAATAAACAACTAACAACGAAACTAAACGCCTAGATAGACCCCAAAGTAAAAACGGTGGTGGAACTTATAACAGGACACTGCCATCTCAATAAACATCTTTTTAACATAGGTCACACGGAAAGCGCCCTCTGCAGACCGTGTCTCCAAGAATATGAAACACCAGCTCACATTCACAGAATGTAGTGTAATTACGCAAAGAAAAACTCAGCCCCAAAAGGTCAATCCCCGAAATCTTCCAGGACACCGGCAGCCTGCTAGACTACTGGGACGCTCTGGGGTGGAAAGAATAACACACACAGCAGCACAAGCTAACGGACAGCGGGCAAAGATGCCGAAGTGTGGAAAAAGCCGTGCCTGAAGAAGAAGAACTAAATAATATGATAGAATGCTTGGAATAAAATGCCTAAATGACATTCCTCATAAACAATGTAAGAAATCATGTAGCAGTGAAAAAAAACTTTATTAAAAAATATATTATGAAGTAAGTAATTTTATTCAAATATTTTATTTTATGAGACTTATAATGAAAAAATAATAATAAATAAAATATAATACTACTGCTATTAATGGTAAAAAACTACCACATCATAACAAAATCTATAGATACAGATAAATAAAATTGAAGCAACTGTTGGTTAAGTGAAAAATGGTTATTTTATTTTTAATAAATGCATATGAAATTATATAGTGTACTTATAAGAAAAACATAATTTAAAATCAAACATAAAATGAAATCTGTCTGTTTGTTCTGGCTAATCACTGAAATGGCTGAACTGATATTAACAGGACTTTCACTGGCAGATAGATAATGTTATAATGAATAACTTAAGATACTTTAATTCTAGAAAAAGAGTCAAGGTTTCATTCAAAAAATTAAAACATCATTAAAACACAATAACACAAAAATTAAAACATGCCATATCTCGATAAAAATAAAAGAAAACTGAATATGAAATAATGTTTCGTAAGTTAAAAATAAAACAAATGAAGTGTAATGAACTCCAAACATGAGTATGGAAATAATTTTGTTTAAATTTAAAACACATACCTTGTACTGTGAATGATGCGAGCAACAATGCAGTATTTTTAGGTGCAGTCATTCTGCCGTCAAACAAAAGTTTTCTCAATTGCAAACATAAGAGATATCTTGTAAATTCTTCGCCCAGTCTACAAGGCTCTGGAGGATAAAAGCGAACTGCAAGCCAGAATTGTGCATTGACACCCACTTGCTTCTTCACTGATTTACCACCATCAAGCCAACGCTAGAACATTTATGATGGAATGTTAATAAAAAACAACTATTTCCAAGACACTAGGTAATTATTATTGCCAAAAGTTTATTTTTTTAATCTATCTGTAAAAAAAACTGATACATTTACTAATTAGACACATAAAATTATAAATTTTTTGAGTGTATAAATGTTTGTACTTCACACTATAATGGCTCAACAATCAACATGTAATTAATTCAATAACCTGAAAAAACTAGACTTTTTACTTTGAAATCCTTAAAATCTATAATTTATAATGTATCCTAATAGTTTACCAAGAAAATAGTAAAAATGTTAAAAGTACCAAGAACATGAGTCAGTCAAAGGATGACTTAAAAGTTTATGCACTTTCCTCACAAGGGTTAATTGTTCATGAGTCATACTTTGCTTTGTATATTGATAGTGACTGATAACATCGTGTGGACTAACAACAGGTGTGAAAGAGTTATTATTATCACAGGTAATAAAAACAAATTATAAAATATTTATATTTTCTTTTAGTTTTTTAGATCTTTAAATACTGTTTTATATTTCTAAAAAAATATATATTAATATAACATTAGTTAATTTTTATTCTAAGTTACAAAATTCTCTTGATATTTTATCAACTTAATTTAATGTATTTTCTTGGATATTAGATTGAATTGGACTATCAAGTAAAGATTTGTAAAGAAAGTTTACCGTTATTTCTGTGTTAGTTGCATTTGGTGTGGAACCATTCTCAGTGAATTGTAAACCAAAATAATCTTTCTCTACTAATTCTAGATGTTGAAATACATGCTCCAGGAGTACACTTCCTTTGGCTTTTTTCTGAAATCATTATTATATTACATTTAATAAAATATTTAATATTAAACATAAAAATGGAATTTCCATAATAAAATTTTATTGCATTAATAAAATAAAGTGTTACAGTGTTTTCCTTGTTTAACTTATTTATTCAGCAGAAACATGTATGTAACAAAATTTATATATGTTATATTTTCATGATAATATATTTTCTTTGGTAAAAAACAATGGCACAAATTCAGAATTGGGGACTTGGCCCCTAGCGGAGTGGGTGGTATTTCTGGATAAGGGACGTGATAGGGAGTCGAAATGTTAAATAAATTTTTTAATACAACAAAAGATTCAAAAGTTATTGAGACTTAAAGTTACAACATTTCCATACATTTTCATATATTTCTTTACCACCATTCGGAGTGGGTGGTATTTTTAGATAGGGGAGGTGACAGAGAGTCAAAATATATTAAAAATATTTGGAGGAAACGTACGACTAAAAAGTTATTGAGACTTAAAGTTATAACATATCTAACACATTTCCATACATTTCTTTACCTAAATAAGTGATTACAACAGATAAACATACCTTTAAACGAATAGTACGCATCCTTTTTTATGTACATTACACATTTTTCACAACAATTAATGCTTTATTGTAATTTAATATTTTAATAATTTCACAACACAAACAAAATGATCTTACATTTTGACAAAAGCAAAAACTGACACTTTGTTTTATATTACCGCTTAAATGACAACAGATTATATTTGATTATTTTTGCTTTTTCTGTTGGTAAAATATTAATATTAATAAATAAATAAATAAAAAGAAAAATATTATTTTCACTTTATAAATACATTTATAACTTTTTATTTGATTTATGTAAAATATATTGTTTTACAATTGTACATTTAGTAAAAAAAATCATTTTTTTATCTGTGAATATTTTTAATTATTTATTTATTATTCGTCATATCTGGTTAGGTTAGGTTAGAACATTTAAGATTATTTATTTATTATTCCTCATATCTGGGTTAGGTTAGGTTAGAACATTTAAGATTATTTATTAATTATTCGTCATATCTTGGTTAGGTTAGATTATTTATTTATTATTCCTCATATCTGGGTTAGGTTAGGTTAGAACATTTAAGATTATTTATTTATTATTCCTCATATCTGGGTTAGGTTAGGTTAGAACATTTAAGATTATTTATTAATTATTCGTCATGTCTTGGTTAGGTTAGGTTAGAACAGTTGCCACAAATGACTAGAAAACTAGAAAATTCGAATTTCACGCAAAGTACAAATAAAGACAATCATCTGGAGATCATTTTGACAATTGAAAGTGACGTTTTGACTCCAAGTGTCTAAATGGTAGTAATGTCAAAATAATGTATGGAAATGTTATAACTTTAAGTCTCAATAACTTTTGACTCTTTTGTTGTATTAAAAAATTTATTTAACATTTCGACTCCCTATCACGTCCCTTATCCAGAAATACCACCCACTCCGCTAGGGGCCAAGTCCCCAATTCTAAACGGCCGCCAAAACAACTTTCCGTAATACTAACTCTGTTTAAGAAATCATGTACATCAAAAACTCACCTCAATTTGAAACGAGTGCTGGGTATCGTCCAAAAACACAACAGTGACATTGAAGATGTTAAGTTTACGTTCGCGCGCCAGCTCTGAGGCGCGAACATTATAGGTACCACTGGAGCTACTGAAGGCACGACGTGATACACTCTCAATCATTTCATCGATTATTCACTACCGGATTCCTATCAGATAACTCAACACACTTAGCTTTAATACAACACAGGGAACACCGCCTAATTAGGCATTCTAGTAACCTATAACCTGTGATTCATGATCCGTACACCGTCCACTCCATGTTAAGTAGGTATTCCTTGTATATTGATAATTGACGTAACGTAAACGCAAAATATTACGTATAAATGCCTAGTTTTTTATGTATTTATTGTTGTCGGACACATATAACACTGTAATAATTCGCGTCGATATTTTAAATTACAAACAGTAATGTTCGTTGTATTAATAATGACTTATTCATTTTTTTTATTCAAATTTAAATGTAGGATTTCCTTTCCTGGAATTATAAACGATAAACACTTCTAATTCCCATTTGACGTAAATTTCTTTCTCGCCATATTAGACTTTTGACAGTGACGTTTGCTGTACATAAGACTGAGGGAACGTTTAGTTGTTGCTTCAGCAATGAGTTTTTAGAATAATTTTAATTAAATATGAACTTCAAAGAGAGTTTTGTCTGCAAGATTGTGCCTATAAATTAATATAATAATTATATTATTCTAGGTATCAACGTACAGTTCAGTATATGTATATGTAAGAAAATTTAAGACACTAAAAACGCATACAATACACTAAAAGAATAGATTGGATATAAAGATAACGCGGATTACAACGTCTTTTTAACTATGCGCTTACCACGCTAATACTATGGGACTGGCACACGCACTGGGAGGTAGCCCACTTCAGAGGACGGTGTACCATGCGGGTTGCTGCTGGTACTTATTTGACGGCAGAATGGACCTTGGGAGCAACCCCATGGTTGCTTTGGTCTGCTGAGGTTTTAGTGGGTAGTACCTACTCGCTTTTTTCTAGCCGGTGAGTCCCACATAATACCTATATGTCTACATGCGGTATGCGTAAAAGCATTTCCCAACATTAAAAAAAAAGACAATATCACAAAGCCTCGCTTGTCCGCCTGCCATACATACATAATATATTTGTATCTCCTAATATTATTAGGACAAAAGAAATATTTATTTCACTGTAAAAACTATAACAGTACCTACACACAAGCGCTACATAACACATTACGTTCAATAATTACATAGATATCGTACAAACTTTAAAGAAAAACCACAATGAAGAGATCCATCAACAATTAATTTGTGCTATGTTTTGCCCGTCTACAATATCCATTTGATCGGCAGCAAAAACATGATTATAATATATCTTATTAATTCTCAATGATAGACACTACGAGTATGTAAAAAAATTAAAATGTGTAACCGGAATATATCGCACATCTCCAAAATTATTCAACATATTAATCCTTTCCAAAGTATTTTTGAAATACTATTATTAAGTATGTGGATTTTGTTGAACTTCATATCACTTTAAGTTAGAGGGCGAGAAACCTACCATTTTAAAATCTATCTGAAATTTCCTACGTGCTTATACACTCACATTATGTGCTCCTCAATTATACATATCTTAATATCATTTGAACCGATTGAGAATTTAGATCTGAAGATACACTTCGACCCTCGTAAGAACTACGTTGTCCCTTATAAAGCCCAGTGCACATTGTTATGAATTAAAATAGGAAATGCACGCCCTTTGCATCTCTAGGAAAGGGTAATGTTTCTTCTTTGTTTATTTTATACACTTTATCACAAACAAATATTTTTTGCTTCCAGTAGCGATAAGGCCCCTTCATGATTGATAAGTCATTGATGAACTGAGTAATTGCTTTTAAAAATCATTATTTTGACACATACTATTAAAATAATGTACTAAAAATACATAAAACAATATTATAATCTATACATATAATAAATAAAACTAACTAAACCGAATCTGTACATTAAATATTTTTTGAAAAATCTAATTAAAATAGACATAATTTTCGATACAGAGATCTAATCAATAGTTTTTAGGATTTTTGTCTATCTGTCTATCTGTCTATTACCACATCAAGGAAAAACTACTGGAGGGATTTTGATGAAATTTGTTATGGTGATAGCTGGTTATCCGGGTCAACATATAGGATACTTTTTACCGCGGGAAAATATCTCATTTCTGAGAAATCTATACTAAACGTTAAGACGTAAGTAGAGACGAACCCGAGCGGAGCGAGGGTAAGTCGCTAATACTAAATAAATCTGCTCATTGCTATTTCATTATTATAGTTACACGATATATATATACCTTTATGTAATATATTAAAACGTTAATTATTAACGTTACCTATTAGTTACTAATATTGAATCGAAAATCAAAATAAAGGTTATGTTGTGAATAAAACAATCATTCAAACAGTTATCTGCCTTTAATCTGCTTCTCTTCATATTCCAGCAGCCATAGTCATCCATTCGGTACCATTACAGGAAGAAAAATTAATACACTATTAGATACTGTTACAGTTTGGTTTGATTATGTGTTACAGATGAAGTAATGTGTAGTAGATTTTTAATAATTGTATTTTAAACTATTATTATTATAAATACATGCGGATCATGAAAACCAGAGTGCAACGCGATTTTGCCATGTAATAAATTTTATTATACCTTTATATGTAACGGACTAGCAGTTTATCGTTAAATTAATTATTTGTACTTAGCATTCTATGCTTCAATCTATTACGCTAATGTTTGTTGGGAATCAGAAGTTTCGTGTCTTACACATATCGATTTTGAAGCACGGTTACTATGTGATGCTTAGAATCGATTCAATATCGGATATAATAAACGGACTGTCTATTGAAACACAGAATATGTATACTTATGCTATGGTATCCATTTAGATCTAACGAGTAAAAATTGAATTATTTCAACGAAATATCTGATTCCGTTATAAGTACATTACGTGCAATATCGCATCGCACATTTAAGTCACTGTTTACCGTACTGCTTGTATGTGTAGTGGTGTGCTTTAGTCGATAAAAAATTCCATACTCGATAAATTTTGATTATGGCCAAACATCCCATTTTTTTTAAATACACATTTTTTGCAATTGTAATAATTTTTGAAAATATAAATTTTGATAATATTTTTTCCATTTGTTCCTAAATATTAATCCAAATAGTTTTATTATCCTTAATATTGTATTTACAATTTTTCAACAGCCGAAAAATATGTTCAATTTTATAATATTATTTTTTAACGACTCTTGTTAAGTAGTAGGTAACAGTACAAATATTAATGATCACAAGTTGGTTTTCATTGGTCATTAACATACGTTAAATTACAGCCTTATTACTATCGGTAATACAGTTAACAGTAGGTCTCCAACTGAAATTTTAGTTAAACTATTTACATCAATAGTTACTCTGATTAATATTATTAGGATTAAAGTAATAAACATTATTGTGCTCATATAAACAAAATAGAAAATTAATCAGTCATTTTAATATTTACGCTATACTTGGAAGATCCTATACGTCATTGAAAGTATTATAAAAATATTAAAAAAAAAATAAACTTCGTATTAATAAATAATAATATGTATAAAACACAAACTAAGAATTGTGTGCATATCCTTTGTGTACCTCCTTCACTTAAAACATATATAATAATTTTATTTTTTTTGAAAATCTATATAAGTATATATTTCGAAATCTACTTTCCAAATGCGAGGCAATTTTATTAGTTTTTCTCGTAGGTACATAAACGATACGCACATTGACACAAAATGATCGATTCAAGTTAGACCCGCTGTTACTTGTATTTTATAATATCAAATCGCATTTGAACAAACACGTATTCGCAAACATGGAACTGAAGGCATACTTTTGAAAAATTATTTAATATTGCAACAAATATCCAACTCGAATACTTAGATGAAGACTTACCAAGCTAAACTTATAGTTCAGTTATAATTACATAAAACTAATAATACATTTTAATAAAACTAAAATTACGAGAACAATATGTACAATTTACGACGATGCATATAATTATTCTATACATATCGCTTTTAAACCTATCTATAAACAGAAATGAAATCGAAACAAAAATCAGTAGGCCACTAAGATTGACGACACATTTTATCTACTTTCAAATATTGTTATATCCTAAAACTATAAAGTGCAACATTCGCTATATAGAACGAAACAACTCAGAGTATTTCAATAAATTAATGCATCTATAAACTACATTTTTTATCGCCATGAGTTCAATTCAAAATGTTGTACTTATTTACAAAATGCATTTTTATTAAAACAAATCGGCCTCTCAAACAAAAGTTGTTATAAACGTCCAGATCAGCTCAAAATTATGGCTATCGATATCGATATCATCGATACTGTCGATATTATCGATTGTTATTACGCATCACTACAACAAAAGAGTATTCTACTCGTGACAATCACTCGTATGTTAGTTGATTTTGTACTAAACACCTATTTTATTCTACCATTTATATACCATTGTAAAAGTAGCTACGTCGAGACGAATATATCAGTCGAAATGTTTTAATTTACATTAATATTTAAAAAAATCGTATTACTTCACTAAACTTGGCTGGAATCGTATCAAGATTCGAATAAGGCCAGAGTGATTTCAACTGAAAATATATCGTAGCGCTAATATATATGCAAATAGGACAAATTGGATTGTCTGTATGTTACGGTGTTATTGATTTAAGAAGAAACCATGTTGTTATACAATAATTATAAAATTTTGTAAGCCCAGTGTGATACCCGTTTTTTAAAATATTTTCTTTTAATTAAATTTAAATAGACGTGGCATAAGATTTACATACAATATCATGCAAACAATTATATAAAAAAAATTAAGTGTACAATAACCACATCATACATAACAGGATAAATAATTTTTGAATTGGATTTAAAACTTAGCCCATGTATTATTTTAAGTTTTCTCCCAACAAGGAAATATAATAATATGTAAATATTTTATTTAACTTTAGACAATGGTGCAGAACAAAGTAGTTTCTTCCTCGACTATTTTAGAAAAAGGTGTTAAAGAACTCGTACATTTAAATCTCTCATAAAATATAAATCCACTAAATCGTTTGATCACCTTCAATGTATAATCGACCTATCTTTAACTTACATTTTTCTAAAGTAGTGACGTAATTACGAATATATGGCATAGGATTACTACAAAAATTAACTTTTCAACTTATAATATGCATTGAGTTAAAAAGAAAAAAAAAACATTTTTTTTGTCGATTTTTTCATTGGTATGATGATTAGAAACGATGACGATTCGATACATGACTCGATTATATCTATTCATGATAGAGAATATCATCGTATTTTAAAAAAAAAACTTAGACTGCGAGCTGAGCACATTATAGATTAATTTTTAATTAGTCTCCCACGTATAACAGCCCATATGTGATATAGGACTTTGAATATACAAGAAAAATATAAAATTTTAATTAAAATGAGGTTACACGGTATCACACTTGGCAGTTAATTTAAAAATAATCTAAATAAAAGTTTTAGACCATGCCTTTAGACATCATTCGTACGGTGTTCTTGAGGGCCTGTCGCTTGTTACAGAACCATATTCTGATGACCTCCCGTTCGTAGCCCAGTTGGTGTGCAAGACCGGTTATTTCAGTGCCTGGAAAGATATGATAAATAATGTTAATTTTACATAGCTCGTTTACTAAGCTTTTAAGTTCGGTAATAACATTGTAAAAGAAATTTTCGAGATTGTATGATTACCCTAAAAAATGATTAAGATGTTAAAAATTTTGTTTAAATATACCTACATAAGAATTAGGAATATTTTTTGAATTGCCGAAATTAGTTGAAACCTTTTTAAAGCTTTTAAAGACAAATTGAAAAAATCTGTTGGGAATTTCAAAGTTACTGTTGTAATCAATAGTAATAAAAGGCAATAAGGTTTGTTGCATTTTGGTTGTAACCACTTGTAATGTATTATAATATTTTTAACAATATCAAGCTATGTATTCTTATTTTAATTATAGTTCTAAATCGACTACAAATTTACTTAATAGTAAATAATAACTTTAAGCGAGTTTTTCATTTGATTAAAAGGAAATTACTTTCGCTGTTAACATTTTTGGAGGGTGAGAAAATTGCGAATTAATGTTTTGTAGAAAGGGCGTGCTCCCTTCACAATAATTGATCTAATAAAATAAAAATATTGCCATATTAAAAATAGTAATATATCAACCATTTAAACTTTAACTATAAAAATATATATTTATATGTCTTGTTCTCTCTGTGTTTGTTGTTTTCTCTTCTTTTATATAACAGCATAGTTTTATTCTTGTACATCAATTTATGTTGTGTTATTGATTTGATGCAAAATGTAACTTAAGCTAGTATTAATTTCTTCGACCAAGAATATTTTTGATCGAAGATTAATTTATAAAATATGTTGTTTATTTGATCTATTATCATCTATACATACATATATAATAAAAGTGTAACTGATTGCTGTCTGTACATGGAAGAAATTTGAGAAAAATTATTATTTAGGTTCTTTATTAACGCAATAGAATCCAAAACAGTGATTTTTAGAATTTTTGTAGGTTTGTCTGTTTGTTTGTGCGCGCTAATCTCAGAAAAGGTATAACCGATTTGGGTACGATTTTATTTAATGTATCGTGGTAAATGGTAAGCTTCACTTGACATTAAGTATATATTTTATTTCAATCGGTTCATAAATAGAAAGTTATGTTAATTTAAAGAATCAACTAGGGACGAACCCAAGCGAAGCGAGGGTGAGTCGCTAGTTAATAAATAAGTTCAATCGGTACTCTTGAATAACTTGATACAAAAATAATAGCCATAGAACTTACCAGAAGGATGCGTGTTTCTTTCAAAGTGCGCGTTAAGCAGCTCAAGCGCTTGAGGCGTGAACGACGTCCGCCGCTTGCGCTTTTTACTCGGCTCCATTCCAATGAAATCCGTCAGATGATTTTGTCCTGATGCATACCTAACGAACAAATTTGAACTATAAAATTATTAAGATAATGCTCAATTTTGTATGCATTTTTGGTAATTTAAGGGTCCTTGGCCTATAAAACTTAAATGCTAAAACTAGAATGTGATTTCGTTAAACATTCTCACCGTTAATTATCAAGCGCTTAATATCGATATAAATATAAATACGCTACTAATAAATATTTTAGTGCATTTATTTCTATGCGACATTCAATGCTAATTAATGAGTTTTGTTACCTAATAATATTGTACTTACATTAAGTTACAATTACAACACCTGCGAATCGTATGAAATCCAGTATTGGTTTTCATTCATAGTTTCTACTTTAAAAAGCACGCGATAGTTTGAATATTTCTTGAATAAGTGTAAGTTCAAATGAACTTTTAATGTTAAATTTTAAATTTAACAAGTTTAATTTTATTTATTCTCAAGAACTCTATACTTAATAAAGTACCTTGAAATCTATGGAAAGTGCCAAAAAGTTAAATTATTATTTCTTTACGTATTATAACCAATCAATACAAAAGCCGACGTATAATATTTAAATATAGACGATTCGCAGAAATGGTATTGGAAAATTAGAATAATTTTCAATTTATAAGTATGAAACATTAACATAATATAGGTAAGTCATAATTTTCAAATTCGCCTACAATCTATCGATTCGATCGACCGATTAAATTCAACTAACTAAGTCTCTATGTGTGTATATGTTACAATATACCGTAAACTTCAACGGTAGTTCCCATATCTATAGCAGCTAAAAGTAGAGCAGACTTAATTTCTTTTCAAGTTCATATTGAAAACCAAAATGATCTGATGAACGTCAAATGAAATGAACCTTGCTCTGGTTTCATAATGCCAATGTCATTTGAATCCCCTTACATAAATGAATCTTTAGTATTAAGAATACGTTTAGCATACGCTTTAGTGTTGTCTACGGATGGGACAATCTATAGATATAATAAAATTCTAACTGAGCCGAATCTATACATTTTTTTTTGGTAAAACTTATTGAAATAAATAAATAAATATATTGGGACATTAACACACATCCCATCTATTTCCATGGTATGCTACGAGGCTTGTGTTATAGATACCAGATAGTTGATACACTACACATATATAACTTTAAATACATACATATTATAAATAAATATAAACACCCATGACTAGAGTACACACATTCGTGCTCATTACACAAATGCATGCCCCTAGCGGGACTCGAACCCGCGACCGCTGGCATACCAAGTAGGGTCACTACAAACTGAGCCAAACGTGTCGTCAAATAATCATTCTCATCGATACAGGGGCCGAATCTGTAGTGTTTAGAATTTTTGTCTGTTTGTTTGTCTATCTGCGAGGGTTAGTCGTCAGTGTTATATAAAATCGTGATAAATCGGTTTATTAAAAGAAAATGTATGATTTAATTTCATTCGATTCGTCGTAACAATTATAAATTACACCAAATAATCGATATTTTGTACTTATTGCTTGTTGTGTTAACTATCACACGTTTGTTGATATTAGCGTTACATAATATAGACAGTACAGTTGCGAAGACTAAAGTAATTATTGTTGTCGCAACCGTAATAAACGATGATTTGTATAAAATAATCATGAATTATTGGACAATACTGAAATAAATGTTGCTAGCAATATCTAAATTGTAAGCTGGCGAAATAACATAGTGATAGGTTCGAGCAAGTGAATAGTAAGAGTCTCACGAATGGCTCTCTACAGTTTTTGACCTATCATAGAATAAACAAACAAAATTTGTTTTACATTTATATTGGTAGTCAGAATTTCGAAAATATTTTTAGTGGAGTTACTATAAAAAATATATTTTATGATTGAGAGGGATGTACATACAACTAAAAAGAAAAAAAATCTAGTATTCAAATAGCCGAATGTATCGTTGAATATAGAGAACTAGCATTGCCCGCGGCTCCGCCCACGTCCAGATGACCAAAAACCAAATTCTTAGGTTTTACATATTAGTATACTCTTAAAATGCAGTTTTTGTATTTTTTCTCAGAAATGAGATATTTTCCCGTGGTAATAAGTATCCTATATGTTGACTCGGATAAACAGCTACCATCATACCAAATTTCATCAAAATCTGTCCAGTGGTTTTCTCGTGATGCGGTAACAGACAGACAGACAGATAAAAATTCTAAAAACTATAGATTCGTCCTCTGTATCGATAGTAATGTCTATTTTAATAAGATTTTCAAAAAAATATTTAATGTACAGTTTCTGCTTAGATACAATTTTATTATATGTATAGATTGAAATGGAAAGGACTAATAAGCGACGTTCAGAACAATTAAAAAGTTAACAGGATGATTTGCCAGTTATGATTAACGAAGACGAGGATATATCTTTATTAATTCAAGGACTGTTAACGGAGTCGCTCGTTAAAAATTACCACCAAGAGGGCGATTGCAAATTCAACCATTTGCAATGTTAAAACCGTCCCGTTGCATCCAGATAATGCATTTTAATGATGCAGAATGTAAAATCGATAGATCCTAGTGGCCCTTACAAGATATTAAGTGGTCTTCGGGGATTTAAGCGACACCTGGTTTCCTTATGAAATTTTAAATATGAACGAGATGTGTTTACGTCGTGTGAATTTATCAATTTTATTATATTTTCCATGTCTCAGTTTGAAATGTAAGTGTTTTTGTTTTATCAGGTATGTTTTGTAAGAAAACATTATAAACGCTAGTTTATTTTCTTTTTTATTTTTTAACATAAAGAAAAAACCATACATTATATATATATATATATATATATATATATATATATATATAAATATATTGACTTGACTTGATATATATATATATATATATATATATATATATATATATATATATATATATATTCTGTACTTTGTCTTTAGAGTAACAAAAATTCTGACGTTGATACATTTTTACATAGGTACGTTACATAATTAAATTTGTTCATATGCGCTAGAATAAGCAAGCAATATTGTAATTGAATTTTAAATAACATGTTTCTAATTAATATTTAATTAATTATAAATTCTAAATTCCTGGTAAGCGCAAACATGAATTACGGAAAATATCGACTGCTTATAATTAGATTTTTATTAATTACACGAAGTGGTTATTACACGGTGCTACAATATAAAAAAAAACATTCCAAATGAAGTAAATGAAAATAAATAGTGTTGTGATAAAATAAAATTGCCATAAGCCATATACGGGTGTTAGATAAGGTGATATATGAATAAAAAACAAAGCACAGCACTATCCTAACGAAAGCTTAGTTAGTCCAGATTTGAGAAATATCTTTCACGTTGCTAAAGCGTTAAGGCCAAATGTGGTACACGGACACGATCGCACAAAACGCACATATCACTCAAACTATATTTACCTCTCTTCGGCTTCCTTCATCCAACGTTCAAGCACCGGTTTGATTTTCTGCGCACTTTTTGGAGTTATATCCAATTTCTCAAATCTGTATCGAACATAAATTTGAATGTTAGAAAACTTGCACGATCCGATAATAGCGGTAAAGCGGTTACGCGAGCGTATCCCGATCCAAGTAACAGGCGAAGTACAGGACATTGACATTGCGTTAACGTTTTGACGTACAGAAAAAAAAAAACAATAGGCAATTTAGGCCGAAGGTGATCAGTTTGATTAATACCGTACGTGGTAACAATAAAATGAATTCAATTAGAAACGAAAGGTAACTAACGTATGCCAATGCCCTGGCTTAGTATTGCGCAAAATGAATTAAACAAAAAAAATAAATATATATAACGAAAATAATGAAATAATACATCATGCTAGATAAGATGGAAACTTTGAAATTACTCGAGACGTTACATATAACAAATTTGAGTATTCTCACAACTATTATTAATGTCGAACGGACGCCAGTACATTAGTAGGTAGCCAGTGTTTCAAAATCAAAATGTGTTTCGACTGATGCATAACGCATTTACAGTAATTACTCGTATGTAAATATGGTGTACGTGTGAAAAGGAAAGGTAAGAACGCCAAAACCGGTAATTAGAAATAAATCTATGCGGCTTACATTCACGTGGTACCCACGGATCGGCGATCAAGATAGCATTATATCGAGCAGCGTTGAAACATTTTGATTTAAAGACAATCTATCTATGGCCGTTGAGTGAGTCGAAGCGTGTGCTAATGCATGTAAGATGCAGCATCCTCGAAGATCGACTATAGCTGATATTAGGTGATACTTAAGATGCAAAGATCAATAGTGGATACTTCGAGGATGCTGTGTGTAGGGGTAAAGAAAACAAAACACATACATGTTTTGTTGTTGTGAAGACAGCTGAGCTGCTAGCATCTGCGAAGCCAGGGCACTGGGGACGGTAATAAATTATTTGTTAGAGTATGTTCATTGAAAACTCCTTAGTAAATCAAGGAGCACAACTTTGTTTAATGTAAAGCAATAAGTAATAGAGCCGCACGCATGGTTTGAGTCTCATGATGAATTATGTTTAGGAAACGAATTTCATATTTACTAATACGATTAATGGGAAAGTATATTTGTTTGTCAGTCTTTAACACTGTAATTGAACAACTATTTGAGGTAATTTATCTTATTAATTTAGCTTATCTTATATTCTATGGACCTATGGGGAGACCTACATAGATTAATCTTTAAAACTCTTATATTAATCAAATCTTTTCGATATTGTACTTCTTATAAGTAGTTGAAATTTTGAGTTTCAACTCAATACTATATAATAATAGTTTTCAGTTGAAAATTTGAGTATGTGCAATTTAGATGACAACACAAAAATTTGATACCGTCGAGCTAATCTGGTCATTAGCAGCCAGGAGATGGATAGTAAAACTCTCCACGAATTCGGTCTTATAAAATATTTTTCATTTTATGTTTTAAAGTATAATAATTATTATTTGTATATATAAATTAATGGTTATCACTAGTAATGGTTGTAAAACATATTTATTTATAAATGCTTCCGTTAAAATCAAGGCAATATAAAGTAAACAGTACCTCTAAAGCTCGAGGTGTTTTGACGCAGACTCTCTGATATACAATTGTAATAACTCTGCCCATGCTTAATTCAATGTTTGTGGACAATCATAAGCACAATGACCATATAAATATGAAAAGTTATACGATTCGACAGTACTTTGTTATCTTATTTCAATGACACTTTACCATAGTGTATAAATAGACTTGATATTTTTTTATGTATACAACAATATGTTATATATTTATGCGTGTATGTATTATTAACTCTTTTTAACGTCCCACTGCTGGACACGGGTCTCTCTTCAATACGAGAAGAATCAGGCCTTTCTTTTATGTGTTTATGTACAGTTACGAGTAATTTATCTATACATATAATAAAATTGTAACCAAGCCGAATCTGTACATTAAATATTTTTTGGAAAATCTCATTGAAATAGACATTATTATCGATACAGAGGCCGAATCTATAGTTTTTAGAATTATTGTCTGTCTGTCTGTCTGTCTGTTATCGCAGCACAGCAAAACCATGGGAGGGATTTAGATGAAATTTGGTGTGGTGATAGCTGGTTATCCGGGTCAACATATAGGATACTTTTTAAGGCGGGATAATATCTCATTTCTGAGAAACAAACACAAAAACTGCAATGTAAGAGTATACTAACATGTAATTTGCATTTTTATAAGATAATAAACTAACTGAATAGGCCTTTACTATTTTTCTTTGTTATATAGAAAAAGTCGATTAACTTCAATTATTGAAGTATATACTTTGCGAATGTTGTGTTAAACTGTTGTTTTAAATAATAAATTCTTTTGTAGCCGCGGTCGCCTCGCAGCCAGACCATCTAAGTAATGCATAAGGTGTATTCAGGAATAATAAATTTTAATTATAATGCAAATTAATTGAGTCCAGCATAATCAAAGGGGTAACAGCCGTGTAGCGGCGTCACAATAGCAAATTGGGGCGAAAGAAAAATTAATCGAAAATGAAATCACGACGGGACAAAGATAGGGGAATTCTACTCTTTTAATTACACGAAAAAAGTAATTACGGCAAGATAATTAATTAAATGGAACAGAAGTAACGATTAATGATTTTATTATACGGGACGAGGTCGGTGGGGGTCAAGTCGAAGTTTCCTTCCACTGTGCCTTCATCGGACCGATCGTCGGAAAGGTTTTTCAATCGTTTACTTTCAATTAAACGTTATTAGTGAATCGAATCTCGTGTAATGGAAACAAGGCTGCCTTAAACGTTTGATTTATTGACCATTGACAAAGGAATCGTTATTGTTACCTATTTATTTTATTTTGACCTATTCGTGTGGTCTGTTTATATGGCCTTAGGTGTATTTGAAACAAGTTTAAAAAAAAAACAATTTTGAAATATCGTAATATATGCCAATATTTTGCTAATAAATTTAATAACATAACAGGATTTCGTTAAAATGAAAATGGAAATAACAAATTGATGTTAAAATAATTAAACAAAATAACATAAATTAAAAAAAAAAATTAACGATATGTTAATTTTAAACAACTAATACATAACTTTTGACAGAAACATAGAATATTTAAAATAGACAGATAACACACATATATTATTTTCGATAACAAATTGGGTTATGTAAATCATTAGTTATCATGGGGTACATATTTTAAAACACGTCTTAAAAATCGTAGCGGAGTGAACGGAAGCCGTCCAAATGGTAATTAATTAAACGAATTGTACGCTATGAAAGGAGTCATGCTGTTTTACAAATTATTTCAATTAACAATATTAAAAACTTATTGTGATATTTGGAAGCGTGATAAAAACGCCTCGTGGGGTCGATAGTGTCACGTTGTGATAGAAGCAACGACTGACGATTTAAAACCAAGCGTGCGTCTCTATTACACAAAAATTGATTGAATATATGAAATTGTTTACTTGTTTCATTGTTATACACAAATATTTGAACCGACTTCAAAAGGCTCTGGCAAATACGAGCAATTAATTACCTTTGTTGTTGTTGAATTCATTTGAAGTCGGTTTTCAAAAATACAAAGTGAGTATTAAAAATGAAAAATAAATGTAAAATGAGTGTATAGTGAAAATTCTTACCTGCATATAGCGCTTTGACTGTACGCGGGGCCCTCAGTGACGGACAGAGCCTGCCCCACTTGGGTCTGCGTGAGGCCTAGCCCTAGTCGTCGAAGCTTAAAAGCTTTAGCGAACTCCTTTATATCTTCTAAGTTGATGCCGTCCACTACATTGCCCGATGACTGGCTAATGGTAGGTTGATCTGGAGATAGTCAAACAATGTAATGAAAATTGAGGGAATTATTAGTGATTGTGATTCATTATTGTCTTATTCGTGGAAAAGGAAAGCTTTTAAGAGCTTTTTAATGTTAAACTTCATGATAGTTTTACAAGAAATAACTTTGTCATATCATCAAATGGTAAATTAACCAGATAGTTTAAATTTAACATGTCATTTCTTATATCTATACATATAATAAAATTGTAACTATGTCGAATCTGTACATTAAATATATTTTGGAAAATCTAATTGAAATAGACATTATTATCGATACAGATTATCCTGGTCAACATATAGGGTACTTTTCATCACGGGAAAATATCTCATTTCAGGGAAAAAATACAAAAACTGCATTGTAAGAGCATGTGAAACCTAAAAATTTGGGTTTTGGTCATCTTAACGCGGGCGGAGCCGCGGTTAATGCTAGTAAATAAATATGAACAAAAAATAGCATATGACCGCTATAAGAGCTAGTTCAAAATTAAAATATACTTCAAAATAATTATTTAGTGAGGTATAAGGAAGTATAAAATGCTTATTAAAATATATTTAACTTCACTAAAAATGATGTTAACGTTATCTATAATTTAGGTAACAAAAAATCTAATTATAGCTAATAAAAAGTTTTCCAAGTAATTTTTACACAAAAAATAGGTATTTTCGAACTTATAGATTAAAATTCTATTTCCATTTTATAATGTATATATTGAGGAAGGTTAGATATAGGTTACCTAAAATAAAGCTACGACCTTTACGTGTCTGTAAGCAGAGCTATGTATAAAAGCTTGTAATTTATAAATTTTAACATTTTTCAGTTTTGATATTATCACCTCCAGGTAAATTTCTAAGAAATTAATAAAATTTCTAAGAAATCTATTGTTAACTGTAACACCGGCGTGTTCGCGGTCGTTGAGGGATAAATGAAATGATCAGTATTTATTAACATTTAAAACGAACGAAAGTTTTTATTAGAATAGAAAACTTGCATTTCATCGTTATTCTAGTGAAGCGGATTCAAACATGCATTTGAGAGAACCTAGCAAGTTTTCGAAAGATATGTGAAGTCCAACCCGCACTTGGCCAACGTGGTGGACTATTGACCTGATCTCCCTCATATTGAAGGGACAATCGAACAGCAGTCGGACGTTGAAAAAGGGCTGAATACAAATATTGGGAATCATTATTTTAATATAGATACAAAAAGGTTTTATATTTAACTAGCATTGCCCGCGGTTCCGCCCGCGTCCAGATGACCAAAAACCAAATTCTTAGGTTTTACATATTAGTATACTCTTAAAATGCAGTTTTTGTATTTTTTCTCAGAAATGAGATATTTTACCGCGGTAAAAAGTATCCAATATGTTGACCCGGATAAACAGTTATCATCATACCAAATTTCATCAAAATCTGTCTAGTGGTTTTCTCGTGATGCGGTAACAGACAGACAGACAGACAAAAATTCTAAAAACTATAGATTCGGCCTCTGTATCGATAGTAATGTCTATTTCAATAAGATTTTCAAAAAAATATTTAATGTACAGATTCGGCGTAGTTACAATTTTATTAAGAAATAACCAAATTGCTCCAAAACTTATTTTCAAAAAATTCACATGTTTGTGTGAACTTCAGTTATGCGTATTATATAGTTTTAAAGCTTTTGATATTTATACTTTAAATATTGATAACGAGGCTTACTTCTTATACACTTAATGTTATATACAAAACTATTTAAAACATTCCACTCTGGGATTCTAGATTAATCCTTCTCTCTTTTCAACTCCAAGTTAAAAAAGAAATGATGATCAGATTGCTAATAAAGAAAATAGTGGGTAAAATTTTATGATGTTTAGAATTTAGTACAAATGGAGTTAAAGCTGTATATTTTGCTATGAATGGTTACATTAAAAAAATGAATTTAGAAATTTTTAATTTTTTGGTGCTGATAACCTTGGTTTCAATAAGTAAATCAAAACTCAGCTTTGGCTCATCTTCTTGCGCTCTCCATAACTTAAAGATGTGGCTTAGTAATCTCGGATTAAATAGAAAAAAAAACACTTACAGATGTCCTAAGATATCTAAGATAACTCTCACAGAATCTTACAGGAAGTTATACGAGTAGAGAGGTTTAGCGGGCAATTTGTGTTATTAGCAAGATGGCGGTACTAATTATGAAGATTATCATTAGTAGTCATCCCCCTGCTTAGTTAACAGATGACAAATTACTTGCCTACCCCGTTAGTTTGAGTAGTCTGCACCAATTAAGACAAGGTAGGGTCGGTAAATTGGCAATCGTTTCTCCATTTACCGGTGTACGGTGTACCAAACGCAGACGATTTGTAATTTCGTTGATGTGAATTGTTATTGTGCATCATCTTCGGGTGCGTCTTGAACGTTTCATTAGAAATGGTTATTCAATTTAGCCATATTCTCTGGTTTTTCCAATCCGATGGGTGGATGATTCGTACGGGCTAAGTATCTACTTTTCTATTACGAGTATCTATTAGGAATTTTGATACTTTCTCAAGATTTGGGGGTAGAATGAGTGTACTATATTTTAGGCCAGTTCTGACATCTTTAAATTTAAAAGTGCTTATAAAATACTAACTTACTCAATTTATTTTGAGTTTGAGTTTTATCATTACCACATTCATCGATATCCTTGAAAATTATTTAAGGAATATCTTTTTGAAGTTGATAATTTCTCACCTATTCTTTTTACAAGTTGGTTAAAATAACAGAGGCTTTCAACTCGATAATTGAAGTGGTATGATATGTAAGCAATTTCTTCTATCATTATTTCCCAATAATCCTTACATACCTATTACGTACATCAAAACACTATAAAGCTAAATGGCAATTGTAAGTTTTCCCAATTACGTATCGCGTGATGAGACGCGCCCATTAATTAATTTACAAAGATAACACAATTGGCAAAGAATGGTAACTACAATCGAATTCAATACTAATGCATCAAGATACCGTAGTCTAAATTGTTTAATTCATGTTATAAATTAATTAGATACAATTTCAGTTTGCGTGTTTTCTGTCCGAACGTTTATTGACCTGCGTTACGTGTAAGAGAATAATTTAAAAAGTAATGCCAATTAAGCGTTTTTGGCGGTTGCTTTCTTCAGAATTGGCGTGTAGATAGATATATATTTTAATTATGGAATATTCTGATGATATTCGCTTCTGTTTTTACACAATTTCTTTTGAAACATTAATTTTATTTATTTAAGTACATACAAGCGGCTCGCCTTCGTTTCGCTAGGGTTCGCCTCTGCAAAAACAAAAAAAAATCTATCACGGGAACAGTACATTTTTCCAGGATAGAAAGTAGCCTATGTGCTATTCCAGACTATAATTTATCTCTGTGCGCAAATTTCATCTAGATCCGTTTAGCCGTTCTGACGTGATTCAGTAACAAACATCCAAACGTCCATCTAAACTTTCACATTTATAATATTAGTAAGATTTTTGAAAAATCTTTATTTACATAGAGTTACTTTTGAATTATACCTATACAAAATTATGCATGCATATATAACTTAGTGGTACGTAAAAAATACTTATTGCGGCCAAATTCAACTAAGATACAAAAAAATTGTTCTCAAGTAGCGTGGTTTATGAAAATAAATACGTTGTAAATATTCTGTCAAAAAATCTCTTTATAAATAAAAAAAGTATATCATTTCGAGCCTTTGAATTTAGATTAATAAAAACAAGCCGTGTGTTTCATCCACAAATTACTAAAAGCAAATAAAACGTCCACATTTTTGGAACACTACTCTAACGACACTGTAATAGGCATCCAATTCGGCCATTCAATTCGTATTCCATACTTATCACATTCGAAATAGTTTCCTCTTCAAAATGATAAGCTAATATGAGATTTGCGTTTGTAGAAACCCAGTTAATGTCTCTCTCACATGCCAAAGGCGTGCATAGGAAAAATCTAACAATTTTTACAAGTAAAACTGTCCGATACTTCAAAATTTTATATTCAACGCTTGATTATCCTTAATTTTTGGTATTATTATACTGTGTTTCATACATTACCGTGTTGTTATGCGAATGATATAAACAACAGTATAGCTTACATCTTTGGACACGCAAATTATCAATTTGTAAAAATACGTAATGGTATGATTATGCGCGCCGAATCGACTTGTTTAGTGATACTATTACAATTTAGAACGCTATAGCTTTTCTATCGATTAAATTATATTAATGTAACCATTTAAAGTACGTTCAAGAGTTTCGTTGAGAAATAAATCGGTGTTCTGTAAAAGTTTGACCCTCGTAATATCCAAGTTTTCGTTTCGATGTCTGTAATTAAAATCCCATTTCATTATAGATTCTATTATCGAAAACGGACATTAGATAATTCTTGTCAGAAATATCAATTGGAGTTAGCATGTTTTTATAATATTAATATGTTCTATAGTACACAAATCAGAACTTAGCTCAGAGGTATATGTTATATATGTACATATGTATATCATATATTTAATCTATATCTTATAATATAAAAATGAATCGCTGAATGTATTGCTAAGGGCAAATCTCGAGAGCAGCTGAACCGATTTCGCTAATTCTTTTTTTAGAATATTCCTTGAAGTACGAGGATGGTTATTACGGAGAGAAAAATTTAAAAATTTGGCTGAAAAAGTCTAAAAACAACAATTTTCTATACTCCCATACAAAAGATTCGTAATAATACTTAAAAGTCAATTTGAACTTTAATACCATGCCATAAAGTTTAAGTGTAAGTGGAGACGTTCCGGGAAGGCAAAACAATTGAGTGACGTTAGTATCATATAAATATTAATGTCAATATTATTAACAAAAAAAAAATTAAAATTTATATGGCTAACGCTGGCTAATAACTATTTATATCTATTTAAAACGTACCTACCGACGAACCCGAGCGAAGCGAGGGTGAGCCACTAGTGTTTTAATAATAATTTGACGACGCGTTT